ATATACATACATAATTTACGCAGGATCTTGATAGCGAAATTATAGCTGAACGTTTGCTGAACTTTTTAGCTGAACTTTTGCTGAATAATTCATTTTTTTTTTCCTTTTCTCTTCAAGACAAAAAAAGAGGAAGAAACACACAACATGAACTGGTGCAAAAGTTCAGCTAAAAGAACAGGGCCTATATTTTATTCCTAATGAATATATAGGTATATAATAAATGTTTCGGCCTAGATCAGGCCTTCTTCAGTATACAAATCTAAGATAGAAAATAAAAATAAATTGTTTACACAAAAAAAGTCGCGCAGTCATACATAAAAACGGTTAAATCTAAGTTGAATGTTACATAAAATTTATTGGTCGCAAAACACTCGTTATTAATGATTAAATTTATTTTGGCGAGAAATTTCTTTTATTACATCTACGTCAAATTCTTGAACTTCGATTGTTGTTTTATAAAAATTAAAGATTTTTTATTCGTGTTTATTCGTGTGTAGACGCAAAATTTCCAGATTCTATTATACTTAAAAGTCTAATTACTAAATATTATTTTAATCTTTGTTAAAATTATGTAAATTATTCATCAGTGTCCAGGATCTCATTACTAGAGATGGCCAAATCGTGAACTGAGAATGGGTATTCCAAAATTGATTCTATTGAAACTGTCTGTTAATACTCTTTAAGAGATATCACTTATATACCCTAGTAGATAAAGAGAATCCAAGAGAGGGTAGAAATGACTCTAAGAGGGGGGGGGGGAGTGTGGAAATATTCATTACCGACAAATAAGCGTCCGGTAATTTTTCTATGCCGCTCTGCTTATTAATGTCGTCGATTTGCCTCTATAAAAATCATTTCCGAAACAGATCTTTTGTAGAAGTATGGTTCTAAATCCAGAATCTGGATATTGCTCTAATCCATTTCATGTCCGTAATTCATTCTGTACTATGACACTGACCAGGAATCAGATAGTTTTTTTATATCGAACATATGTTTTATTCTCGTTTTTAATTTTCTCTTCGTCTGTTTCGCATAAGAGGAATCACACTCTAGACAGCTTATTTTATATATTACATCCTTTCAGTCCATCTTATCTAGTTTATCTTTACCTATTTTTATAACATCATTCAGACAATTCATAGCTTTAAACGACGCTTCAAAACCGTTTTTTCTTGCAACATTTTTTAATTTGTCTGATATCCCACTCATAAAACATTTTTTTGCCATGACTTCTCTAGAGTTATTATGATCTTTGTCATACCCATATAAGTTATCCCTCTTTGATAATGTTTTAATTCTATTATTAACAGTCAAAAAAATCAAATCTAGAGGATAATAATTTCTAAATACTAATCATTAGTTATATATTTTTTCGATGGTGGTCTGGATGTGAGAGAAACAGGATTCTATCTAATTGTCTAATTATGACTCCTCTCTTGTGTTCTAATGAGTTTGATTTATAATTTAGATACCTTCCTGAATTAGAAGGTTTTTTATAAATATCAAATTTAATGAATGTTTTTTTTATTCTCCGTCCTCAATTTAACATCCAAAAAATTTTTGCAACCATCCACATTCTGTTCAGCCGTGAATTTTATTCTGTCATGATACGTAATTCTCAACGGTAACAATATAATTCTAATTTAATACACATATCGATGCACTTTGTACTAAATTAGAATTATATTGATACCGTTGAGAATGACTTAAAGTAAGTCGAAACGCATACGGATTTTATATCAACTTTTTATATTTTTATACTTTACATTAAAAATGGACATTTCCATTATTATACTTACAACGACCATTATTATACTTACGACTCTTACTTCCCTTTACATTTTAGTCTTTATATTAAATATTAAGGAGTTCTTCAATATTAATTGTTATTCTTATTATAATATATAATGATATAATTATAATAAATATAATTATAATTATAATTATAATTACATTTACGATCATTGTTATAATTATAATTGTATACTTTCTAAAGTTACACTGTATCAATCTGAATCATAGTATGACTCCGGAAAATAAAATGTTGAAATCATATATATTTTCCTGCTCTCAGCATTACTCAGGATCAAGGACTGCAGCAAATTAGATGGTAAAATATGACATAGCATTTTTAATTGGTATACTATGATTCAGATTGATACAATGTGACTTTAGAAAAATATAATTATAATGTTTTTATCAAAATTGAAAAAAATCGAGTCAAGAACCAGCGAAATGCCAATTAAGAATTCCTGCATGTGTATCTTTAATTTGCTTCAATACTTTTATATGTAGAATTATTAAAGGAATCATACATATTGATATTATGTAAAAAAAAGGTATACTTAGCTAAATTTTACTTCAACAAAACTATTTTCTTCGTACATCAAAAGACTAAATCGAGACGTTATATTTAATGTCATAATAGCGATGTGAACAAAGAAGTATCGCGAACAGAAAAATGTGTCCGTTTAGCCCGTGAAGGAATGTAAATAAAAATTTGACTAATAAAATATTTAAAGAATACTTATGGGAAATAGAGAAGAATAGAAAATAAGTTTACATAGGAGACAGAGACAGAAATATACGTTTTCGTAAGAATCGGAAATGAAATAATTTAAAAAGGAAAAAGTTGAGATCAAGTGTAAATTAAGATTTCTGAGTAGTCATTGCGTGTGTATACGTTTTTCGTTCATTTTTATAAGTAAAGCAATCTTGTTATTTTATTTTATCCACATTTTCTTTATTTACAAATGGCATTCAAGAAATTTTAACATGTCATTTCTCATTTTAAATACGTCATTTTAATACATATTTGTTCAAATCAATTCTGTGAACTTTATTTCAAATCACCAAAGCAATTAAGATTTAGCTTGGCTATTAAATTCTTTACTCCCTTCTTATTAGTCTTCTTCTTAGTAATCCACATTTATGGTCTTAAAAAATTTCCCGTTTAATTTAATTCCAGAGCAAAAATAAAAAGTTATCAACACAAAAAAATTTGGTAGGAATAAATAAGATTTTGGAGATTGTGAGGTGTTGATACGCGTTGCTATGTTGAATTTTTTACGTGGATAATTTTGCGTTTCAGTTTCGGAAAATTGGACTAAACTAAAATTGGACACAGACCTGTTTTAAATTTAATTAAATAACTGTAATTTGTGCATCACTTACCGCGCTGTACTCTTATTGCTAATCATTACATTTATATGAAAATTATATAATTATTTTAGGCTAATTTGCATTACCTGTTAAATGAATTTTTCTGCAGAATATCTAAATTGAATAGAAAATGTCGACTATTTTGATTTAATTTAACATGTATTTACAATAAATGTTATAAATATTTACCAAAATGTTATGTTAGAGACGTACAAAATTCCTTTAAATGAGATTCCTTTATTTGAGAATGAATTCATTAATACTATAATAGATACATATTTTGTAAAGGAGTTGTTACATTTTGTTTCGAATTGAAGAATCTCTCCAAAATATTCCAAAGCGATTTGCGCTTTCCATTCTCACCAATTAAAAAACTTTATTTATATCTACAATATGTCCAATTTTTATGTTACAGCTCTCTTCAGTTTATAAAGGAATTTTATGAAATTAAATATTTTAATTTTAAGAACTGAAAAGGATACGGGCAAACATTGCTATGAATTATTCAAAAACCGATTCTCGATAATTTGGCCAGTCAGTATCCGACACAGGCTGTATTAAAATAGATATGTTATAATTATTGTCACGAGTGCTAATTGCACAAGTGACAATTGCGCCACAAACGTGCTAGAAATATAAACGATTGCCAAAACCGATTTATTAAATATATTATACTTAAAGATACTTTTAAATAATTAATATAAAAGAAGACCCTGAGCAAATATAAATTGTAAATTTAAGAAATACAGACTCAGAAATTGCGCGGTAGCTATCGGATAAGCGAAATGTTGACGGGCTAATGCGGAAGGGCTAAGATTATCGCGAAAATCAAGCTATATAAGCGCGACTGTGAATGCGGTTAGAAATTTAAAAGAAACTTGTCGCGTTATTTTGCCCATCGTCTAATTGAAATTGTAACAGTACCTACTGCGACGTGAATAGTGCTAAGTGGAATTGTAATGAAAAACCATTGCTGATGATATGGGTAAAAGTAATATATTTTTATTAAACAAAAATATAAGAGCTGTTTGATCTTATTTCTCGAAGTTCTTTGTGGATCCGCGAATTGTGTCGTGAAACAGCGGCACAACATTATCATTATGGAAAAGAATACAAATTATATAGTAGACTGACATAGTTTAAAATAGCAAATGTTATATTTTTGTCAAATTTATATTATAATATGATAATATCGTTTAAAATTATTTTTCGTAGACTCTTTTATAAAATCAAAAGGTATAAATAAATAAATGTTTATCTATTAAAGATGTATAGATAATGCACGATAGCGGATAATAATTGTAATTTACGCAGATTTACATTGAAAGAAAAGAATTTGCTGAATATAGCATAGCATTTTTAATTGACTACATCAGTCAATTTTTGGTTGCGAATCAAAATCGTATGTTGACATTGCGGATGTGCTGACGCAACTAAAAATCTGCTGCTGCTGCAATTAATTAGGAAAATATTTTATTCTGCCGAGGGTCAAACCCGAGACCTCTAGTATAGCAGACCAATGTACCTACACTACGTTCGCGTTCATTTTATTTTATTATTATAGCTATAGCGAAGCACGATATCAGTGCTATTGTATCTATTCTATTTTTATTATTAGATAAATAAATAGGACAGAATGATGATAATAAAGATAACAAAGCTATGCTTTTTAAATGTAATCTATCACTATAGTGATAGATTATTTTGAATTTTCGTGCTACGTAAAAAGATTTCACACGAGAAGAACGAAGTAAAGCAGGACTTTCCCTTTTTAGTCTATGCCAAACGAGGCGTGCAATTGACTCTCACCAGCTAGACGCATCGTACATTCTCATGAAGCTAAGTCAGTTTTGTCGACCATCTGCCACTGATCAATTTGAAACAGTGACGCGGGCTTTTCCGGTGACAAATAGTATAATTTGCGCGAGCGTCGTTAGTGCAGTGAACGCAAGTGTAAAGATGCAATAGTTTTTTCTTTGAGGAATTGAAAGTGACGAAAATGTCATGGAATTAGGCATAATTCGCGAGTGCATCCGGGCGACTGTTACAGCCGAATCAGGAAGATCTTTCGTTTCTCAATGTGAAAGTGACGTGATATCACGCGTCGCTTTTACTTTACGCATTCGAAAATAGATTTGGACACGCATTATATAACGCAAAACAAATAATATTGTATTTGCACATCGCACTATAACGAGTGTGTTAAAATAAATGATTAGAAAGACACACACTATTGCAGTCTTAATCATCTTTTCCATTTTACTTTTCCTCATGCCACAGAACTTTTACATGTAACTTTCAAGACTTCGATAAACTGAACTTACGTAACAAGTGACTTTTATCATGTAATTTAAAATATATAAATCGCGATAGTTAAAAATATAATTTTTGAAATTAAAGATATTAGAGCGATGATTGTTCAGAGAGTTAAAAAAAGGAAAAGACGAGAAGGAGGAAACAGAAAAAGACGAAGAGGTGATTAACGAAAAGAAAATCCAATATCTCTCTTTTTGGAATAATGGAGAGTACATTCCTGCAACGCTATGGCTTGCTCAAGTAGAAAAGTATCTTCTAGTCGCTAACGTTCTGGTTTGGAAGGGAAAAGGTAAGATGTGGAAAGTCGTGGAAGGGGCTCCTTTCTCCAGAAGATGTGCGAACAAATTCCTGCAACAAATCAGAATACAGTCAGTGCGGTTGAAACTTTCGCAGTATATGCATCTCACACGCAGAACCATGCTATAAATATCATCTTGATTAGTTTTGTTCGTCAGTGTTGTTATTTCTTTCGAATCAAATTGCTTGCCTTTATAGGTGGACAATCGTTATTTATTTATAAGTGTTCTGATGTGAATATAAAATAACCAAAATGATTAATGATTTTTCGGATGATATTGCCCTGACAGGTCAGTTATTTTGCACGGAAGAGATGTAGTTTTCTTTCACTCAATTGCAATATAAACTAGTTAATCAGATATGTTAATTTAAATTAATCTTTTTAGTGTTCTAATTTAGATATCATTATATGTATAAATGAATTTAGTTTTAAATAATTCTTTTTCTATTGTGCAGTGTATAATATTATAAATCGTGTATAATATCGTGTATAGTGTATAATATTATAAATTTTAATATTATAAATCGTAATATTAATAAGTTCACTGGTAGACGTAAAATTAATTTTTACCAAAAAAAAAAA